TGAACAAATCAGATTCTTATTGGACCAAATTACCAAAACTATAATTATTTTTAGTTCATTTAGTCCTATAATTAAATTCCGTTTCTGCTGATATTTCTTGCTAGTATTTCTATAAATCCTGTTACTCTATAGAGTTGTAATAATTTTCATCCAATTCAAGGGGATGAGCTGAATTTTTATTCTCAGAGATATGTAGCTTAAAATAAATCAGAGTTCTTTTTATGGATCTCTCAGAAGTTGTAACATTTTCCAAATGCATCATAAGAAAACAGTGACTATTGCCCTAACCAGTTTGGCTCAGTGGATAGAGCATTGGCCTGCAGACTTAAGGGTCCCAAGTTCGATTCTGGTCAAGGGCATGTACCTTGGTTGCAGGCACATCCCTAGTAGGGGGTGTGCAGGAGGCAGCTGATGGATGTTTCTCTCTCATCTGATGTTTCTAACTCTCTATCCCTCTCCCTCTCTATAAAAAATCAATAAAATATATTTTTAAAAAAAGAAAACTGTGACTGTCTATAAATAACAAGAAATTTAAAATAATAGGGTTATTGAGTTGATTATAATGCAAATGACATGGAACTTTTTCCCTTCTGTAAAACACAATATTCCAGAATATTATAACTAATAACAATTAGTTCTAATGAAAGCATATTAGAATCTATAATATGCATATATAAATAGAATATAGTTATTATTTCCTTATTGGACAGAACTTCCCATATACCTTAAGTATAAAATTTTCCTTCATAAGGAGAGAAAGCAAATCCTTGAGGCATTCCAGGGCCCATTGGAATGACCAAAGCCAGTTGTAGCTCAAGGAAAATTTTCTTAAAATTTAAACCCTGGAAAGGTAGTCAAATACATTAGGCTAAAATATTCTATATCATTATTATTAAATAGTGTTAAGTAATGTATTCATTTAAAGTAATCAAGTTCCTGATTAACATAAGTATTTCAATAATATATATAAAACTTTTGATTGCTAGGCAAATATAGGAAAAACTTTTTTTTTCTTACTTTCATAAATAGGCTTATCTTTCCAGTGGAAAATATACTTACATTCTTAAGAAGCATAACAGAGATAGTAAATTTCTTAGCTGAGAAATAATCCCCTCCAACTTGGAAATCCCCAGTGGGCTCCAATGACTTACTACGCAGTTACTTTGATTTTCTTACTCTTTGTCCACTGCATATTATTGCGTTCCTGGGTCCTCACACGGGGCACCACCTGTTGGGGGTGACCAGCAGACCCTGAGTGATGGGTGAATGATTACTTTGACACATGTTTCTATGAAAGAGAGGGCTAAGGGACACACTGGCTATTGGAACCAAACAGCCCCATTAGCACACCTCCTTGGGCTTTTATTGTAACAACAGCTTGCACTAAAATTAACTATTAGATACTATCAGTAGGGTAAGCATCCTTGAGAAGACACATGTCTCTGCAGTGTCCTTTAAGAAAGGATGTGTAAGAGTAAGCATACAGGTTCTAGTAAACACCCAGGTGCTTGCACGTACACAGACTTGCTTCCCAACAAAACAAGTGTCAGATATAAGAGGCTGGATTGCAACCCAGTATTGTGCCTTGGATTGCCAGTGGGTAAAAGGGCCTAGTTGTGGGCTAGATCCCCAGCGCAGGTGTGAACAAGGCTGCTGGCCGAGGTTGCACTCTCATGTCGATGTTTCTCTCCCACTCTCTAATTCTTTCTCTAAAAATCAGTAAACTATTATTTAAAAACTAGAGGCCCATTGCATGAAGAGATTCGTGCAATAGGTCTTCCTTCCCCTGGCTGCCGGCACCGGTTTTCCTCCGGCACCTGGGACCCAGGCCTTTGCTCCGGCTGCAGTGGAGAAGTGAAGCCTCTTCAGCCTCAGTCTTTGCTCGCGCCTGCATATGCAAATTAACCACCATCTTTGTTGGGTTAATTTGCATAGTCACTCTGATTGGCTGGTGGGCATAGCAGAGTGACAACAATTTGCATGTTTCTCTTTTATTAGTGTAGATAAATATTAAATATAAATTGATTGTACATTTATGCATTATTGCAGAAGTGAGTGAGAGTTTAACATTCTCTGCATCCTAGAGAATATTTAGTTCAATCAATCGTTCTTTATTTAAACTTTTTTTTGGCTAACTTTTTTTGGGGGGGGTAACTTTGTCGTGCTACCTCACTGGTATTTGATTGTATTTTTTTCTAGGAATTTATAGTGAACCTTATCTCAGATGTGCATTTGCTGTGTCAGTATCTTTGTTAAAACATCTGATCATATTTTCGGACTAATGTGCTATGACTGTTGGCACTTTTCTTTAAGAAAAAGATATTGAAATAACAAAGATGGATGTTGGAATTTCACTCATTTTGTTCCTTTTTTGCTTTATGAAGTAAATTTTTTTGTATTAGGAAAATATGTTTATATATTTTACATTTTTAAAATATATTTTATTGATTTTTTACAGAGAGGAAGGGAGAGGGATAG